CCTCTTTGGATCCTGCGCTGATATTTGACGTGGGAATTAATATGTTATATTTGGCGGATGTGCCTGGAGGGAAGCCCGAGTGGGCCTCTCAGTCGATTATCGCGATTCTGACTCTTTGGGACCGGCAAGAGTTCTCTTCTGCGAGGGAGAGTATTGTTAGAGCAGTTGTTACGAATCTCCATCTTCTTGATCTTCATATGCAGGTATAGTTTTTGCTATTATGACTTCGTTTAATTTGGGCTCCTAGGTTCAGAATTCTGAATTTGTTAGTGGATTGGATACTAGGTGACGAGAAAGTAATGCTTCTGGGGTTTTAAGATGTTGGAAGTTATCAGTAGAGTTGCCTAAATTTATTTTTACACAGAGCGGAATTGAGATTTCTCCTAGGGAAAAGCCCTTTGAAAGATATGTTGTTTTCAATTTGTGGAATATTGTTGGTGTCGGATACATATTGATACTTCTAAAGTTTCTGCTTGAAGGTTTCATTGTTCAAAAGGCTGCTTGTTATGGTTAGAAATTTGAGGGCAGAATCAGACCGTATGCATGCTTTAGCGTGTATTTGTCGAACGGCACTTTGTGTTGACCTTTTTGCGAAGGAAAGTGTTCGAAGAGGCCAAAAACCTCTTGTAGGAACTGATATTGCTTCTCTCTTCGAAGATGCAAGGATCAGAGATGATCTCAACAGTGTGACCAGTAAAAGTTTATTCAGAGAGGAGCTGGTTGCTTCATTGGTGGAAAGTTGCTTCCAGCTATCTCTACCTTTACCTGAGCAAAAGAACTCCGGAATGGAGAGCAGAGTGATTGGGGCTCTGGCTTATGGAACTGCTTATGGTGCGCTAAACTGGACAGAACCAGCTCTGGAGGTTGTGGAAGTTTGTAAGCCTTGTGTTAAGTGGGACTGCGATGGCAGGACATATGCAATTGACTGCTATCTTAAGTTGCTAGTTAGGTTGTGCCATATCTATGATACCAGGGGAGGTGTAAGAACTGTAAAAGATGGTGCTTCTCAAGATCAAATCTTAAATGAGACAAGATTGCAGAATCTTCAACGTCAACTTGTCAAGGATCTTCGAGAGGTACACACATACTATTAGGTCTCACTCACCAAAGCATTAAATCTTTATTTAACGCAAGTGTTTTCTCACTCACCAAAGCATTAAATCTTATTGATAGTTTGTTTGTTCCTCATGTAGGCCTGGGATCTTAGTTTATAACCAAAGTTTAACTTCAGCTGCTAATGTCAGTCGGTTGATATTTAGTGCTATTATGACAAGATTGCTGATTTTGAATCAATAATATTATATTTGTAAACATCGATGGAGCTTCTGTGTTCTTTCTGCAAGTATTTTTTTATCGAGCAATCTAGACTACACCATCTTTTCTTCGTGGGGAACACTAGTTTTAAGGAAAAAGTTAGTTGTAGTTTTACAGTGTCTATCTATTAAAACAATCTTTCAGGCCTTAAATCTTATCTTAATCTTAATTGTCTGTCCTTACCTGTTTGAAATTGTTCAGTTGGGCCTTAATCAGACTCTCTGTGTTTAACTTTCTGCATCTTGATTAGGTGCATACCCAACGAGTATGTCCACGAGTCATATGGGCTATCGCCGAACATATTAACTTAGATGGGTTGGATCCTCTTCTAGCTGATGACCCTGAAGATCCTCTGAACATGATAATATCAAACATCCACAAAGTTCTTTTCAACATGGATTCATCTGCAAGTACAACAAATAGACTCCAAGATGTTCAAGCAGTTCTGTTAAGTGCTCAGCGGTTGGGATCCCGCAATGCTAGGGCTGGCCAGTTACTGTCCAAAGAGCTTGAGGAATTCAGAGGCAGTAATTTGGCCGATTCCGTGAGCAAGCATCAGTGCCGCCTGATTTTACAGAGAATTAAATATGTTCAGGCTCATACTGATAGCAGGTGTGTTCCATCTTTAAAATATATATGATGCCTTATTCTTGCTAATGCCTTTTCCTTTTCCACCTGTTTCTGTCAACCTACACTTATTAGCTCTTTGTAACAGTTATTGAAGTTTGCTTGATTCATGCTATATCTTTTCGGTCTAATGGCATTTCTATTAACATGAATATAGGGTTCTATAGCTTTTTTTTTGGGTGATTACTGGATGGTGGCGAGGAAGGCTAATTTAAATGTAATGCTTACCATTAGTATCTCCTCTCTTGATTTTATTTGTTGCTAGTAGAGAGAGAGAGAGAGGAGAATATAAACGGTACATGTACCCTGTAGGTGTGCCCATTCATCTTTTATGCATTATTAGAGGATAACTAGTGGAACTCTATCTCTTAATATAAACCGTTATCAATAATGGAATGCATATTTAAACACTACCACCTTTTATAATGGTTTAGATGCACAATATGTAATTTATTATTGTTACGTTTTAAGAAATAGTTCCCTTGTAATTATCCTCTAACAGTGAATAACCGATGATTGGCTCTGCATACTGGATATAGTTTCCTCTCATGTGATTCTTCATTACAATGACTCTTTCTTGGTTTATTTAGTTGCTACGAGGAAGTCACTGAATTAGGTAACTTCATCACCCGGATACTTCTTTAACATTGCAGTCTTAATACGTTCAACCTACTAAATTCATTGCTTCAGAATTGTCTGTTTTGTGAAATGTCCTTTGTAGACGGAAAACGGTGCACATTTTTATTAGTTGAACTCTTCTTTTCTGTTTCCCATCCCGTTCTTCTTTTTGATTTTGTTAGTGACTGCATCTTTTCATATAATTTCATCAATTTTTCCTCTTTCAGGTGGGCTGCAGTCAATGAGGCTAGAGGTGATTACCCGTTTACCCACCACAAACTAACTGTCCAGTTTTATGAAGCTGCTGCTGCTCAGGACAGAAAGCTGGAAGGATTAGTCCACAAGGCTATCTTAGAGCTTTGGAGGCCTGACCCGAGTGAATTGACAGTATTGGTAACCAAAGGAGTCGACTCTTCATTGCTCAAAGTTCAACCTCCTGCATCCACTTTGTCTGGGAGTAGTGATCCGTGCTATGTTGAAGCTTATCATCTGGCTGACTCTGGTGATGGAAGGATAACACTGCATCTTAAGGTTTAATATGCTCCGTTCACATGTTGCAGTTAAGGGGAACCTCTTCATTTAGGCATATCTTTTCTAATGGTTAGTTCTTGTTACAGGTCTTAAATTTGACAGAACTTGAATTGAATCGGGTGGATATTCGAGTTGGCTTGTCGGGTGCATTGTATTTTATGGATGGATCTCCCCAAGCTGTACGGCAGTTGCGTCATCTTGTTTCACAGGTACAACTATCGGGAGATTATTCATATCAATGACCTTTATGTCACTTTGGGTTTAATGGCTTCTTTGGTCCTTGTACTATGTTTGTTTGAACATAAACTCTGTATTTTATCATCCCTGATGATTTACATGCCCCGTGAATTCGAAGTCGGTCTTTCACCCCTGAATTTGGTTCCGTTGATCGATCTTTAGCCCCCTTAGTCCTGAGTTGTATGCTTTCTAAAAATGAGAGGAGATTAGAGAAATATGAGAGGCTAATTGAGGGGAACAAAACATGAAATTTGCTGAAATTGTTCTCTGACGCTTTCGTTTTGCCTGTTCTTCGACCATCAGTTGCTTGATCCATATTCTTGTTGAATTTGTGTTTTGTAGGACCCAGTGCTCTGCAGCGTGACAGTTGGGGTGTCCCATTTCGAAAGCTGTGCGTTATGGGTTCAGGTCCTATACTATCCATTCTACGGTAGCGGTGCAGCAGGAGGCTATGATGCCGACTATATTGAAGAAGACCCTCAGATCCTTAGACAGAAGAGGAGCTTAAGACCAGAACTCGGAGAGCCAGTGATCCTGAGATGCCAGCCCTACAAAATTCCGCTCACCGAACTCCTCTTGCCTTACAAGATTTCACCAGTTGAATTCTTTCGCCTTTGGCCTAGCTTACCTGCTGTAGTGGAGTGTACTGGTACTTATCTCTATGAAGGCAGCGGCTTCAAGGCAACTGCTGCGCAGCAATATGGCTCCTCTCCATTCCTTAGTGGGCTGAAGTCATTGTCTTCCAAGCCTTTCCACAGAGTCTGTTCCCACGTAATCCGCACAGTGGCAGGATTTCAGGTATTTGCCTGCTTGGCCATTCTTGTTGCTTCAGCTTCTGTCTCTTTTCCTTGCTAATCGCTCGGTATTCCACTCACTGTCTGACTGCCTATCTCAATTGTTTGATCATCAGCTTTGCTATGCTGCAAAGACATGGTTCGGAGGCTTCCTTGGGATGATGGTATTTGGGGCTAGTGAAGTGAGCCGGAACGTCGATCTGGGCGACGAGACGACTACCATGATATGCAAGTTTGTCGTTCGAGCATCCGACGTTTCAATCACCAAGGAGATCGAGTCGGACTTGCAGGGTTGGTTGGATGACCTCACCGACGGTGGGGTAGAGTACATGCCGGAGGACGAGGTGAAGGAAGCAGCGGCAGAACGGCTCAGGATCTCAATGGAGCGGATAGCATTGCTGAAAGCGGCCCAACCTCCACCAAAATCCGAAGTGGAAGAAGAGGAAGAAGAGAATGAGGACGATGACGACGAGGAAGAGAGGAAGAAAAAGGAGAAGAAAGATGGGGAGGAGAAAGACAAAGCCAAGGAAGAGAAGAAAGGGACGCTGTCGAAGCTGACGGCCGAAGAAGTTGAGCATATGGCGCTCCAGTCGGCTGTTCTGCAAGAGTGGCATAGTCTATGCAAGGAGAGGAGCACCAAAAGCTGAGTTTTTGCTACACTTCAGTCCTTTTGCTTTCCTCGTGTGTCAATAGTTTCATAGGTTTTGACGTTTAGAAACTAGGAATAGTGAGTTGATGATTCTTTTTTCACTCACCCTTTCATCTTTTGAGGGTTTTTGTATTTGTATGTACAACATGTATCAGCACCAAGCAGTGAATTGGCCATAATTGCTTTTATTGAAATCAAAGAAACGAGCTTCCGAATATCATCTTGGTGGTGCAGAAATTAGACTATTTGGCTAGATCCATCATATATTGCTCTACAGAAGGGTCATTAGGTTTGTTCGAACAACGGACACGTATGTACGACAAGAGCTCTGTTCAGAACACGAAACTCTTAATCCTGGAATCAAATATTCTCAAAACAGGATGCATATTGGATATACTATCCGTCTACCAAATGTCTAGTTTCTGATATCCTATGTTGCAACCGTGCAAGTTCAGGTCTCTCTAATTACTCCCCGTGCAGAACAAATACAAGCAGGGGACATTTTTCACACCTCTAAAGCTCCGCCATCTCTCTTTCACATGTTGAATTTCTGAGGAACTGAGTCGAAATCATCAAAGTCGAATCTCTGTCGCTCCCTTCCAGCCTGTAGCACAAACAAGTTATTAAGTGTCACTTGTCAATGTTCCAACATAAGCTTAGGAATGAAACATTTTCTTTAGCTAAATTGTCTTTTGAGTTTACCTTTGCTAGGTAAAGCGAATCGCATGACATCTGCTCATCCATGTTAGTCAACTTCTTCGATAGTGTCATCAACCTGGAACAGAAATCAAATCAACATCTCCGTGATAAAAGGCATGAACATTGACCTACTGGCAGTCTAGGGAATAACTGCACTATACAGCCAATACGATTCACCTGGATACGACACTTGTACAGCTACAAATAAATTGTTCGTTAAATTTACTTCCTTCGAATGTTCACGTTCAAAATGTAAATGGTTGAAGTACATATATTTGTACTTGTAGTACCTTTGGATTGAAGAGTCAATACGCTCAATCACTCCAGATGACTTGTACTGCTCGGGATCCTCCAGGAACCTTACCATGCCATCTTTCTGGTTGATTGTAGCAAATATTTCACCATCTTGGATCTGAAATTAGAATGAAAGGTGTCATCAGCATGTGATAGTCTTAATCCGAGGACCTAAGTCCATTAGTAACCCAAAGGAAGTACTACCATTTGCAGGACGTGCATCTCCGCCTCCTTAGCACTGTTAAGTTGAACGGTATTTGCTATGTCTTGCAGGGAAAGGGTTAGATATGTCTGCGTCAACCTCTGGATATTTCTCTTGTACATTGATGATACCACCTGTTTCACCAGCCCAAGATTATTATCCTGAAAAAGCAATCAGAGCACGTTTGTCAGATGGATGAAGAAACAAAATTGAGATTTGATCAAAACAGTAATCCTGAAGATGGCGAGTCTCAACCATTAAGAGCAGCTTGACATGCATGATATAGCTAACTCACACTTTCAAACTTTTCTCTGTGCTTTTGGACAAACGTTTCTAGTTCTGCAATTTTCCCAGTGCTGTAGGTATTGGCCAACTCGATATAAGGCTGGTAAGAGAAAGAAAGAAATGAGTGCATTCCATAGATCTAAACTAAGAGGTAATAATAATAAATAGATCTAAACTGCGGCACACTCAACAACTTGAGTGACATATACCTGGCAGAAGTTCTTCAGATTTCTCTGAGCAGATGATGAAGCGTACTTGGGAAGACCGGGTGAGAACTGCAACAGTAGAATTTAAAAAACCCATCAAACTACAACGTAGTACAGGAAAAAATAGAATATCGGCCACTTAATTCATTGGAGTATGGTTCGACTTTACATTAAGTACATAAACTACACCCCTTCAGCATGGAAAAAAATAAGATTAGATCAAGAAATGAATAATGCTCACTTGTCCATTGTCAATGAGAGACACTAATGCATACTTCTTGTAAGCTTCAACAGCTATAGCATTTATAGAAGTCATTGGTGCTGTCACAACCTGCATAAGACGAAAGTAAAAGGAATATTAGAAATGAAGGAAAAACATTGGGACAATGACAAGGATGGACAAGGTAAGAGATAGTAGTAGCCCCCACATTGTGTAGAAGCTCCAATGCTTTCTGAAAGTGTTTTTGTCCAATGCAGATCATCCCCCTGCCAGAATAGCAGTAAACATCACAAAAGGATTCATTCGCCTCTCGGAGTGAGACAAGACATGTATAAACATGCATAATACAGAAGGAAGAATGCTAAGCATCAATTTCCAATTACCCGTAGTAGCAATAAAGGAACAGGTCCCTTGGCTGAGTAACCTCAAAAATATCGTCTTCGAGAAGTGAAAGCCCAGTTTTGTAGCACTTTGCTAACAAACAAAGTTGTAGAAAATCTGGATGCAAACTAGTCAAATGCTCTGAAGAAGGTTGAACTTTCCGCACAGCTACCAGCAATGGAGCCACCCCACGCATAGGTGCTTCGATTAACAAAACCTGATCCTTGAATCTCTTGCACATGCCAGTGACTAGAAACAAAAGATGTTTTAAACAACAAGAATGTCAGATTTCACAGCACTGTAGCATTAAAGTAACAAAGAAAAAAACAAGTAGGATTCAATCTAAAGATACATACACTTTTCAGGCGCCAAACGAATTTGCTCAGTGCTGCAGGAAGTGATGAACCTTGATGTTATCAGAACCAGATTTGCTGCCAGCTCCTTGGATACCGGGCCAGAAGTACAAGCATCTCTGCCATCACAAATAGGGACATCATTCCATCTCTAATAACTCAAATTTCAGAAGAACCAACTTAATACTTTCCATTCACTAAATTTATTTACAATAAGTGATCGGATTGTATCAATAAGCCTACCGACACTAACTATTAGAATCAACTGCATCACCATTGGAATGCCATAAACACCATAAAAAAACCATGCCGAAGAACAAAACCCACTACGAAAATCGACTATGTCCCTCTATCAACTGGTTGCTAAACTTTTCCCAATATGCTTCCACAAGCAATTGAATCATCATGACCTTGGAAAATACAATGGCATTCCCCATTAACCTGCCCGATCAAAATTTTCAGCTCTTTCCAAAGTTCAACATACTTTACTAACCCCAAAATCAAACAATCGCCTACACTACAAAATCGGTTAAACCCTAACACTAGCACAATCAATTCCCAGCGAACGAACTACAGAACTTACAGAAGATAGAGGTATCCGAGGGAGTGGATTGACGGGTCAATCTGGTCGAGGAAAGGCAGCAAGCGAGCGGACTCGCCGCGGAGAGCTTCGTCTACTTTGTTCAAGTGTGCGTGAAGCGCAACCACATCGTTCGGGCTTCCAGACAGCCCCTGAATCTGCGTTACGAGAGTTTCCACCGCGTTCATCGTCACCGTCGTAGTTGTCGTTGGCGGTTCGGAGATTTCTGCCTTTCGCTTCCGATCAACCAGAGTTTGTTGCTCCTCCTCAGTCTTCCGCTTTCCTGCTTCCATCTGCTGCCCTTCTTCAAAAACTGGGCGACAAAAAGGCCAAAAAGGAGGCGGTGGCTTTTATTGGGCCGAGAAAAGTACGGAACAAAGCTGCCCATGGTGCAGAAGCAGGGCCCTTCAAGAAGCCCACAGTTGTTTTTTCCTCGTAAAGGCCCAGTCGAATAGGACGAAAAAATACGAGCGACACAGTCCATCTTGCAGAGGCCTTGTAAAAACCCATTCTAGTTGTTCCTCGTAAGGCCCATTTGTTATTTCTGGAGACTAGGCCTGGGCCATTGCCGCCACCGTGGCGCGGTCGTGAAAGGGGAGGATTGAAAATTCATTTTGCACAGTTTTTAGTTTTTACAGATCGGAATCGGAAGGAAAGGAAAGCGAATAGAAGAAGGCGAAGAACAGAAGCTTCCAGCTTTGTCAAAATGGCGGACTACCACTTTGTGTACAAGGACGTAGAGGGAGCGTCGACTCAGTGGGATGATATTCAGAGGAAGCTAGGGAATTTGCCCGAGAAGCCGCCGGCGTTCAAGCCGGCGCCTTTTACTCCGGCTCCGGATGGAGATTCGATCCCTAAGGATAAGGCGTGGATCGACGAGAAGAACGAAGATGAGCTCGAGGAGCTCGAAGATGATCTCGACGACGATCGCTTCCTGGAAGAATACAGGTTTTTTTGTTCAGCTGCTTTCTGTAATTCAAGTTGTTCCGGTGGATAATTTTTTGCTGAATCCTGAATCTACCTTTTACTGGTGGCTTGGTTACTTCCTTTTGTTTTGGTTACTGAGAAAATTGACTAGAGAAAGGAGAGTATGGTTTGTTCTGAGTGAAATTTGCTTGATATTATCATCTCCATGGAACTAAGTTTACTGAAATGGACTAATGGAGTGCTCTCACTGGCATGTTCTTACTGTTTGTTGATTGCTCATTTGAAGCTGTAGCAGATGACTTGCTGGTTTTTTATGGATTTCTTGGTATCGAGAATTGCTCATTTGATGCTGAAGTAGATGACTTATGATCATTTTGCTTATCGACTTTCTAGGAATTTCATGCTGGTTCTGATAAAAAAAATGTGATGTTAGGAAGAAGAGGCTGGCTGAGATGAAAGAAACAGTTAAAATTGCGAAGTTCGGATCAGTGGTCCCTATCTCGGGCTCCGATTTCGTAAGAGAGGTGTCACAAGCGCCTCCTGAAGTTTGGGTTGTGGTGCTCCTCTACAAGGATGGGTATTTCGCTTCAGCCATTGAGTTTCATGGTGTCTCTGAAAGTTTTGCTACCATGGTTTGTCTCTTACGCCTTTTTGCTTCCCTCGAATTTGCTTGTAGGTACCAAGAATGTGGGGTCTTACTTCGTTGCCTGGAAGAATTGGCAACGAAATACCCTGCCACGAAGTTTGTTAAGATCATTTCTACTGACTGCATACCCAACTACCCAGACAGGAATCTCCCAACTCTTTTGGTCTACAACAATAGTGCTGTGAAAGCAAACTATGTAGGCTTAAGAAGCTTTGGCAGGAGATGTACCCCTGAAAGTAAGTTCGGTATTTAGCATTTTGCAAGCTCTCTACGTGGTGTTTTACTGGCGAAAATGAACTGTAGTTGTCTTGTCAATCATTAATGGCGGTCCAGATTATCTTGACACGTATGAACTTTGTCTTTTAGGTGTTGCACTGGTTCTGTGCCAGTCGGATCCAGTGCTAAACGATGGCCAGAATGGAAGCGACACTTCGAGCCAAGCTGTGATGGATGGTGTTAGGAGACGGATCCTCGAGAGGGTTGTGAAGGACCATGAAGAACGTGGTGATGGTTATTCGAGTGATTAGTTTGTAGGAAGTTTATTTTGATAGGTCTGACTGACGAAGGAAAGTAGAGTACTCGTTAAAGGCTTGGCTAGTGTGTGGAATGCAGGAGCCGTTTTGGTTCCTGTTACTTTTTGTGTTCCATTTGTGATTTCCCTGAATGTGCGAGTGTTTACAACGCTTTGATTTTTTCTTCCAGAAGTGCTTTAGCTACACTTGTTGTTCTTGTAGAACACCACAGCATGATTCTGGACGATTAGTGTTTTGAAACGCTTAAAGATCCTAGCGAACAAGCACTCAAAAATACAAAATTTATGTTGCTGGATAAGTAAGCATTCAGTTCTCATAAACGTTTTAATAGCCATTCAGTTCATGGAACCATATTTCTCTTGTATGTGTTACAGAGCGATGTAAGAAGTAACCAATTTTGCAGAAACGATAACTTGCACTCCTATTTTTTTAAGCACAAAACCCACTTGGGATATCCCACAAACAGAATGTCCTTTTCAAAGGAAAAGCAAAACACAGGCATTGGACGAGGGATCTCTGAAAGAGCTCGCTGATCAGGGAGGATCGTTTATTAATGGGTGTTTCTCATGCGTCCTCTTCCTCTTCAACTTCTTTCTTTTTATTTTTCCTGGTGTCACTACCGCCCTGAGCTTGCATCTCAGCCTTCTTCTGCGCTCGAACCATGGCTCGTCTAGCACGAGGGCGCATTTCTCGAACTGTCCTGGGAGGCATCACATATGGTTCAATGGGCCGATCACCAAAGGGGTGCTCACCATCAGCAAAAATCCTCAACTTTCTATCCCGGTCCTGCATTCACGACAAAAATTGTGACATGAGATATCAACCATAGATTTGTAAATTAGTATATATTTGCCAAACAAGTTCCGAAGAGATTCATGTCTTCCATGTCCTGATTCAGCAAAGAAGAAAGTAACACCTGACAATCAAGAATGTTTTAACTTTTAAGACTTCCAACGCCATTTTGGGATGCATCCATCCAAATCTCCACGTCAAACTTCGCAAATAGTTGACATATGGACTGTTCTTCACTCAACCCTGTGAGCACACTAATTTTCAGCCTATGCTGAAACTGTCACTAATGCAGTACAGCAGTCAAAGTACTAGGAGGCGGAGCAGTGACCAGAACCAGTATGAACAGAACAATACAAAATGCATCCTTAAAGGGGAAGAGAGAAATAACAACTGTCTGATTTAACACTCACATCACGCAATTTATTTCTTGGGAGCATACGCATAACAGCTTTGCGAATGACTTCTGTTGGGTCCTTGGCCATTTGGTCTTTCAAAGTCCTTTCCTTGAGGTGCCCAATATAGCTGCACCAAGAGTGATGGCACACAGTCAATCACTAGTGAGAAAGGGGTGCCATGGTATGCTATATAAGAGACTTCAGAGAGATACGATAAAATAGGAGTTATCTACTTCAGCAAACAGCTACAAGAACAATTCCATCATTTTACTGGACCAGATAAATCAAATGAAAGCAGATACTTGCCCTGTATGCCAGTAATAGACCTTATCGGTCATTTTTCTCCCTGTAACCGATATATCCTTGGCGTTAATCACAATGCACATATCTCCATCATCACGGTTGGGTGCATAAGTTGGCTTGTCCTTGCCTTGCAGAACAATGGATAGCTGAGATGCTAACCGGCCAAGTACCTATAGAAAGGAAAGTGGCTTAATGTTATCTTACCCTCACTTGGATAAACTAGGAAGAGCATTTGATTCATCAATTGGGAGCAGTTAATCAGTGCAGGCTCAACCCATAAGGTAAAGACATCAAATTGAAAGACGAACATGAATCCCACCTGGCCTTTCGCATCAAAGACTCTCCACCGCAGACCATCGAGGTTGATCCGTTTAATGCCAGCAAATGCTTTCTGCCAGTAAGGCAACCAAAAAAAGCACCAGAATTAGAAAATGCCACCCACAAGTAATCAGAATGTGCACAATCGATTTCCATGATGATAAAATCACAGCAAGTATAACCATCCTAATCACTAAAGTCCACATGCGATCATCCATTCAAATCCGAATTACAATGAAACAGCTAACGCACAATTCGTCCAGAACTTTCAACAAACAGTTGGCGAGCTCACTAGCGCTCCAATTCCCGGTAAAATGGAATTAGCTTTCGGCGCCAAATTCGAAGGAGAGTGAAAACTGGGGAAAGGCTTGTTGATGCAAAATCTAAAGGAAGTACCTTTATGTTGCCACTGAAAGCTGTTGCTGCCTGGGTTGCCATTCTGTTGATCTTAATATCAAATCGTCCCTTCTGCTTCCTCACGCACAAAGCATCCACCACCCAAAACGAACCAACAAAAAGGAAGGCGTAAAAAGTAGTGAACAGTTCCAGCAAGCGTTTTCCTTTCACCCCGAAGGCGAAGGGCAATGGAAGGAAGACGGGGTTTAAGATCGAGACTTCCGATTCGGAGAACAATAGGGTTTTGGGGAGAGCGATGGAGAGACTCCGGAAATGGAAGGAGGAAAGTTTTCAGATTCTGTCTGCAAGTCGTGACTGGGCCTTTAAACCCAATAAATCGGGCCCGCGATAGCTTCGAATAGGCCGGAGCCCAAAAAATGAACTAAACGAAGATTCAGACCATAAAACTAAAACTGTAATAATGCGGTGAGCGTGGATCGAACACGCGACCTTCAGATCTTCAGTCTGACGCTCTCCCAACTGAGCTATCCCCGCTTGTTGTTTAGTTTTACTTTCATGTTTTATTATACAGAATTGGCATCTAACAAGGCAACAAAGCCACCATAATTGAAGACATGAAATGATAATGTAGAATGCAACAAGAGGTTAAGAAAGTTGAACTGTAGAAGTAATCAAGAATATCGATATACCAGCTGCATATATTCATAAATGTTTTCATGTATCATTTACAGAAACAAGCTACATCCTAGATTCCTAACTATTCCCTACACCAAGCCTCTCCTCCTATTCAAGTTTCCTACAGCCAAGTCCTACTCTTTTTTTCCGAGTTGCAAATCTTCGTCTCTATCCGTGCAGCCATAGAGTGTATGGAACACTAAACCAAATCCCGAGAACCCTTGAACAGATCACGACTCCATTGAAGATGGCTTCTGCACAAGGATTTCCCCATACCCACTCTCTTGCTTCACATCCACGAGCCCTTTACATTTGAGCACCTGAAAGAATTGCAGGACTTCACAGTGTCATCACAGCAATGTACTATTTTTTTCCTAGAAGTTCCTTAGTTGAACAAAGTTTGTTTTTTAAGTACCAGTATCTCGTAGAAGAGCCTCGCACTTTCTTTCTTTGTTCTTCCTTCCAAGAGTTGCAGCAGGTTCACTACTTCCTCCTCCCCTTTACGTTGTTTCTCTATAAATGTATTCTGCAGGAGCCTGGCTGCCACCCTGCAATAGAAGACCTCAAGCCAAGTTAAACACAAGAGAGGGCCATTGAAGTAATAGTGATCCACAACATTCTAGAGCTCTTTTACTTCATTTTTTCAAAGCTGAAACAAACCCAATATATACTCTCCCAACCATACTTTATCATACCTGGTTCTTTCCGACCATCCATCTGTGACAGAAACAGCCTATCAGTACTCGCACTAACATCAGGAACCCCAGCAAGCAAATAAACAATTGCATGCAATACTTACCAATCTCCTGGTTTTCATCGTCGATCATCATATCCTGACAGAGTTAAGTGGGGAGAGAATAAGAAAAGGGCCGAAACTTCTGTGGCATACCTCATTGAGTTGAAAACAGTGAACTCATAGTTTTAATACCTCATTCATGAAATGAAGATCAGTTTCTTGATCCTTTCTCGAGTCAGTCTCTTTCTCAAAATGGTCGAATGATGGACAAATGGAATCCGCATTGCAAGCATCAAGCCTCTCGGGGCTTTCAAAAGATCTGAATGCTGTTGTACACTGAACAGGTGTCTCAGGAGCGATAACAGTATGTTCCATCGAGGCATTTCCAAACTCCGGTATGTTTAGCTTCATTGTTTGAGCTGATGAACGAACTGGTGTCCCAGGAGAAATCACTGTCTGGTCTGAGATTCCACCAGTAGCATTTTCAGGTTCATTATCATCCAACTTCGCTGGAGGATCTACTACTAATTCACCAACAGCTAGATGCCGGGAATCCTCTAAAGTGTGCTGAGATTCCACAACTTCAACTGGTGTACCATAATTAAGAGATCCTGAATTGCCTGAAGGCTTCATAGTACTAGACTGACCAGCGGAGCATTTTGATCTAGATAACGACTCTTTCGGGGTAGTACATGTCTTAATAGCTTCAGGAATCTTCGATCGTTTGTCAAAAAGAATCTTCAATGCAGTCCCCAAAGGCGAACCTGTGCAGAAACTGTTTAGCAAGGACAGCATGAATAATTGATATCTACTATCGTTCTTACTAGCAAAACTTACAAGGAATCAAGGGTTCCATTAAACACTGATGCAGATTGAGAAGTCGATAAGCCTTCCAGGCAGCAAGACCAGTATGAGGAACCTTTCTTCTTTTAGAAACCAAGTCACTCGGATCTTGTATGCTTCTCTTAACTATGCTGCAATTGGATATATAGAAATTCATTGTCCTAACACCAAACTCTATAACAACATTCATCCTCCTTCGCAACAAGTTGCTATCAAGTACGATACAGCTTAGAATTGAGCACTTTAGAGGAGAACATACTCATTTGGAAACACAATGATATCATCGAAGATGCACTTCCTCTTTCTTTGAGTTGGAGCACGCTCCTTAGTTGCTGGAGTAGGAATAACCAAAACCTCTGGCGTTCTATTCATTCCTGTGTAATAACAAAGATTCATCAGTAGTACAAACTTGCCGAAAAACTTCTTCACATGCCTCCACTAACATTTAAAGACTAAGAGAAAATAATATGCAACAACCACATTTTTAAGTTCCTTGTACCTGCAGTATTGGGAAATTGAGATTCAGGAGTACTGTCAACTGTCACTGATAAATGACAAACATCTCTGGCCACCCAAGACTGAGTATTTCCGGATGGTGTTTCATCGATCAACTTGATGCGTTCTACTACACTGTGATTCTCTTTAACACATGGCGTAGTACATTCAAGTTGTTCCTGAACTGGGAAGAATGTTTCAAAGTTCAGAACTTTCTCCTGAGATAATCTACAATCTTGCAGTTTCTCTACGCTAGCTTCCGTCGGTTCAGGCTCATCTGGAACCTTTCCTTTCTTTTCTCCCCTATGATATACTAGCCCAAACTGTTGTTTCACACATCTTGATGGTGTCTCTTCCACAGAACCAACATTTTCAGCATCCTCGAGGGGTTTCTCAACTCCATTGAACATTTCATAATCGACAGATTGGCCCTGCAAAGATGCATTGTCTTGAATTTGCTCAACATTTGTTTCTAGTACACTCACATCACCATGATTCATCTCGTTTACCAACTTGGGCATATGTGGCACATCTACACGATGCACCTCAACTTCAGAAGACATTTCATATACCATAGTATTGTCCTGAGGGATACCATCCTGTGCCTCGGTAACAGGCGGCACATCTGAATGCTGCCCTTCAGTTTGATGAAGTTCGGCAGCTAGCTCAACAACATCACCACATTTTGTTTCGATTCCAAGAGACATTCCAATATTGAGGGATAATGCTTCAAAGTAATCATCATCCCATACCTTCTGCATACAGATTATATTAGACTCTCCAATATCTTCAGGTTGACAAACTTGCGAATGTGAGGTTCCGACTTCTGGTAAATGATCATCCGGATTCCTAGATGATAGCATTTCACGTTCTACAGAATATTCGCACCAATCTTGGTGTGGGGTATCACCATCAGGTTCAACAGTTGCTTTCAAGTTCTCTGGTTCACTTGATGTACCTGCCACCCTCTCAACTGGCAACATGCTACATGAATTATTCCATTAAGAAGAAAAAAAGACCATGAGAAACTCAAAATCAGATAACCGGACAGAAAGAGATTTTGGGATCGGTATCCATACTCTTCATTCAGAGGGTACCCAGCGGCAGGGAATCTATCCTCGAGGGGAACGAGATCCATGCAGTGATACTGCAAATCGAAGTAGAACATCTTTGTAAGCAACATACTCTTACTGAAACTCGTCATACTACAAACAATATAGAGCATAAAACGACGACTTCTGAGGCTGTCCAAGTATCAACTTTCATCCATATGTGTCAAAGCAAGATAAGCTACATCATCAGTTTGTCATGGAAGATTTACCTTGTCTTTAGCAAGGTACTCGGATCTCCCATATCTCCTCGTACCATCTGTTCCACAAGTAATTATGCAGCTGAAGTGGAATGTAGACAGGAACACCAAAAAACGGGGAAAAAGAAAAGAATAGATAAATACCTCTCAGTGTGATGTCTTCTAGAGGCAATACATTGCACCTACGCAGATGAAAGAGCAACAAACATCAGGAATGAACTATACTTTCAGCACATCAATAAAAGAAACAATCATATTTTATCACAATTACAACTCACCCACTACCAGTATCTTCCAGGATTCCCAAGTCAAAAGCATCAAGTTCGAACCTTTCGGGGAGGGTAATGGCACCGAAACAAGGGGATGTAAGTGCCACGAGGGTTATGTCGCTACTTTTACCAGTAGCAGCAACAAATTCCTTGACCTGAGCAAGCACCTTGTTGCAGTCGTTGAAGAGATAGTCAACCTTCTTGGAGTATATCCTCGCAATCCCCAGAAGAAAGTAGGCCAGCACTCTATAGGCAACGGCATCATCAAACTCATCTTGCAACACTTTGTCTGAAAGTAACATCAAAGATTCAACATTTCAAAATCAGAACAACAATAAATGCTGAAGAGTCATGATTCCAAAGACTACCAAACACCTCTCGAATTTGTAACGACACTTTAAGAACCCAGAAATCCTCTCTGTGAAATACAATCACACCAAAGAACAACAAAGAAAAATCTACCAGCAAAACCCCATCAAGCATTTGTCCAGTTCATGGAGACACTCAAAGAACACTGCTTTCAGCACACCCCATGAACTCATGTTGAAAAAGAAGACCAAGACATTCAAAAATTTGACACGATTGTTCCGTACAGAGGTAAGGGCAGGGGGGAACGAACCAACAGAGGAGGAGATGTCAGTGTGGGTGACTTGGGATTTCTTGAGCTTTTTGAAGCAGTAAGCCGCTACCCAAATCGAACCCAGCGGTCCTTCTCTTGACAGGAAGCATTGGGAGTAGAACATTCTTTATCCACCTTCTTCTCTCTGTCTTGGGTCTGGGATTACTCTGCTTTGGCCTTCTTCCACACCTGAAATTTTTGAAATTCAAAAAGTACCCAAAAGAAAGAAGAGGACTGTTATGGCAAGGCTATGTCGAATGCCAACAAACGAGCCGGAGAGAGAGCAGTGGGGGGAGAGAAGAGGGTGGCACTGGCAGAGTGTGCTTCAGAAGAAAACGGTCCAGACTCTCCAGAGAGAAAGAAGCTTACCAAAGAAGCAGAGAGTCGCCTAATTAAATTTGTTTCTTTACCAATTTTATTACCATTTAGCCTAATTAAGACTGTAATTATATTAAAACTGTTTCTTTACCAATTGTATTAAACTGTTATTATGCTAATTTTTTTCCTATTAAACATAATTCTGCTCTAAATTTTAATAGGTAACCAAAAAGTTTCCAATAAAATTGGAAAAAGGAACAGCAAAGCGCCAGAAAGAGATATTAGATATTAATTATTATTGTATATTATTTTCACAATCAAATTTGAAAGTTATACCAGATCAGTTGGGAAATTTTTTCATTTGGATATTTACCGAATTCTGTTTCGGTGGGAAGCCAAAAAAATGGCATGGGAGCAGTGAAAATCTGACTCGTGTTAAGTTGGCGTGTCAATCCCTCGTTTTAAACCTATTGCTTTGTAATTATCCACAACCCACGGGCCCAGCCACTCTCCTATGCTTTGGGCTTAATCTGGGTTCCGGCCCATTAGGCCCGCTAGACGTTTCATACAAGAAGAGAAAATCCCTCCAACCTTGAACATCATCTGAATCTGCACTACTACTACTACTACAAGTCTACAACTGCAGTCAGTCATTTTTTTTTAATGAATTGATGCTGAAATTTTATTCATCTACTGCAGTCAGTCATACAGACAGTAGACTCTAACTAAACATCAGCACAACAAGAAGACACTAACTATAACCATGATTAGGAACATCAAAACAACAAAACTCCATCTTCGAATCAGAGAGCTTTCTTCTTGGTCATGATCATGAGCTTCTTCTCCAAGGTCTTATCGAAGTTACTACGCGACAGGGAAAGAATCTGGTTCAGAAGCAATCTCACTCCATACTCCCTGACAAGAGCGTACCTCGGCTTGATCCTGTGCTCCAAGCTATAGCCAAAGTACTGTGGGAACTTGACAAGCTCGTCCTTGGAGTAATCCATGGTGAGGAAGAACTCCCATTTCGGGATAAGGTTATCCTCCAAGCTAAAGCTATAAAGAGCTCCATATCTCGAGATCATGATCCCGATTTCTTCTCGTGTGTAACCTTTCCCCAAGAAGAACTCGGTGATGGGTTTCAAGTTTGCCTCAATGCTGAGACCGAACGTTGAAGGAGAACGGAATAGAAGAATGCCTACATCGACATTGAGAGAACTGAAGTAATCTGCTGTGGGACGAAGCTTGTCCTCCACGCTATAGCTGATGATGTTTGGTGCCCGAGTTAAGATCTTCCCTATGCTGTCAGCCGAGACACCCATTTCTGAGAGGAAATCCACAGTCGATTCGACCTTCTGCCTGCTGTAAGTAAGTAGAGCTGGGAACCGGTATATCACTTTTGCCCATTGTGCCTTGTCGACTCCCAAATCTTCCAAGAATCTCATGGTGGGTATGATGTTTTCTGAAAGGCTGATCCCACAGAGTTGTGGCCTTTTGGTTAGGATGACTGGGAGGTTTTCTTTAGGTATGCCTAGATCGATGAGGAACTCAACTATCGGCTTGATCTTGCCTTCCAAGCTGTAGTAAGCAAAAGCCGGGAACTTTCTAGTGATCACTTTGATTTTTTCCAAGTCCAAACCGAGATCTATGAGGTAGAGGATGTGAGGTGGAAGGTCACCAGCTGGGCCTATCTCGCTCACTCGACTCACAGCTTTTAGCTTCTTCGAACTGAGAGGTACTTCAGGAGGAGGAATGGCAGGAAGAGCAGCAGCAGCAGGTTTATCTTTAACCGGAGGGTCTGGAAAGTTCTCTACAACATCAACCAGAACGTTGCCGTGTTCTTCGTGGAGCGATTCAAGGTAAGGAATGAGAGCGTCCCTAATCTCAAGAGTTGTGAGTTCTCTTCCTATACAACATTGTGTCGAAAATGGAGGTTATTCATCAGGCAATGAGACAAGTTGAGGAACAGGAAATTGAGTGAAATTGGCATACGAAGAAAGAAGACAGAAAGCAATTCGAACCTACTAGATACCGAGATTTGTGAACAGAATGTAGCCTGGAAATGAGATGGTCGATGAAGACATCCGATTTGTTTACAGTTCTCGAAGCGACTGACTTGCTCACACCCTGGTTCTTCAAGAACAAGGCTAGCACAGCTTTTGCTTCTTCCTTTTCTGCAGTGAGCAATGTTGGTGGCACTGATCTTGCCGCGGATAATCCATCTACCCTAGTACCTTCCCATTTGTTCAAGAAAAAAGAAAAGAAAAGTGTTTCAATTCAATGAACATATCTACCAAATTCCAGGTGAAACAATATTGACTGAAATTACCAAATATCCCCCGGCAGAAAAAGAATGCTTTGTCAGGGAGGAAGAGCCGATTTCTGAAACAAAGCAACACCAATAAGTAAAGCTTTTCAACAACGCTTCATCAGAGAACACTTCAATTTCACCATAATAGAACGAAATAACACAAATAAATAGCTCGAAGCTTATTTCAAGTCCCCATATCTTGCAATTAGGACGAGGGTAACGAAAATCAACTATAGCAGAAGGGCAAATCCCATTAGAACCAGAACAACCAACAAGCGGAAACAAAAGGCGGAGTCTTTTTCTCTACAGAAATAAAACCCACGCTGTGTTCATTGAAAACAGAAAGAACGAACCCATTTTTCGAGTAGAAATCAACGGAGGGACGACAGAAAGAAAATAGGTAGTACCTGGAAGAGGGTAAAACGGGTTTAGAGAGGAGATAAGTGAAGCCGACTGACGAAGAAGAGCAGCGGACAGCGAATAAAGCTTTCATCTTTAAGCTCCAAAATCCAGAGTTCGAGAACTGGGTTGGCAGATTTTCGAGCTCGTTAATGGAGGGGGCGATCTTCCGCAGAGAATATACTAGAAAGTAGGGAGTAGCGCAAGGTTGAATTACGAAGAGAAGAACTAATGACTGGTGTAGAATGGCTCGTTTACTGCTGGAGGTGGAGACTGGAGACTGAACAAAATAAAAATGTTAGAAAAATAATAAAATATCTGCTGGGCGCGGCACACGAGACACGACTCGTAAAGATCGATGGAACGGCGCCGTTCAAGCCGGCAGCAAAACCCTATAAACCTTTGAATGAAAATCGGAATTTTGATCCTCCATTGCCGAAGAAAAGAAAGGAAGAAGCTTTGGTTTTTGGAGTGAAGTAGAAAGGAAGGGAAGAGAAGAACAGAAATGGCGATGTATCTGAGACGGGCAGTCTCATCTCGAAGTTCAATTGGTTTGATTCGAGGAATTTGGTCGCGGGAAGTCATCCAAGCTCGGAGCTTCTCTCAGGGTCTCGTCTTTTCGCGGGATTTCATCTGCAGCGATTTTACCGGAACGAAAGAGGCGCCAACTCTGCCGACGAACTTCGGGTTCCCCAAGGAGAGTCGTCGAGGATTTGCCAAGGGAAAACGATCAAGTAACTTCCTATTTCTTCGATCTTGCAGTTGAGCTTTTTTCTGTTGGATTTGTGTCGAGTGGCATGTTAGTGCTCGACGATTTGCGTCAGTGAACTGCGAGGAAGGTGGGCAATTGGCCTTTTCCGTGCAAATTTGTTTTCTGAGTTGTGGTTCGAATAATTGAGGGTTCAAAAGTCTGCTATTGCAAGCTTATGTTTGGCTTCTGAATCATAGTCGAGCTAGACCAAAAATGGCGCCTTGCTAGTTTGGAGAGAGCATAAGTGAAACTCATTCTCTTTCTGGTTTGTATCCTTAGGGGATGATTCTGGTGGGGGGACAGTTGAAGTTGCTCCCGACATTGGACCTGCTGTTAAGTCAGGTGCGGCTTCACAGATGGATGCAGCAATAGATGCATTGTCTAGAGAACTTACCAAGTTACGAACTGGGAGGGCCTCTCCAGGTGAGATACGTGGAACCGTTCGTTTATGCTTTTGATTTGACCTTAGCTCTTGAGTTATTTGGACCATGCTTAAAATGGCTTCTCTGCAGGAATGCTTGACCACATCATTGTCGAAACTGGTGGTGTCAAAATGCCACTGAATCGGTTGGCTGTTGTTTCAGTCATGGACCCCAAAACCTTGTCTGTGAATCCTTATGATCCCAATGTAATGAACTCTACCTGAAGATGGTTTTCTAAATTGGAGCTCTTTTCCTTGTTTTCTGGTGCTATTATTTACTGAACAGACCGTGATTATGGTAAATTGCTTCCTTTTCACAGACTCTTAAGGAACTGGAGAAAGCAATTGTTTCATCTCCATTGGGGCTGAATCCCCGTGCTGAAGGTGAACGACTGATTGCTGCTATTCCACCGTAAGCACTCACTAGCTTATGGCACCGTTTTTTTCAGTCAGTTTGGGGATATTAGTTTCAAGCTCGACGATGTTGAGACAACAGCATTATGTTTGGGTTTCTGATGTACTTTTTTTGCATTCTTTGTATTTGGCAGATTAACCAAAGAACATATGCAGGTGATATATTAACTGTTATGGTTCCCTTTTTAGCTCAATTCCCCATGTAATTCCCTTTGACTGACTGGAAGAGCCTTTCTATAGGCTTTGTGTAAGGTGGTTACCAAGTCGAGTGAAGATGTTAAACAAAGCATAAGAAGAGCTCGTCAGAAGGTAAACTGATTAAAGAATTTTAGGGTTCTTCAGTTCATAATTGGAGTCAAACAGGCCCTCAGAATTGTTAGACCACTGTATATATAGTACATAGTTTTGTTCAGTTCATAATTGGTTCCTTGTTGCCAATTTAACATTGACATCTGATGATCTAATAATTATTCCTGTGAATGAGTCTGGCTCAAGCTGAACAGAATCCCTGACTTCCTATGACAGGCGTTGGATACAATTAAAAAAGCCGGATCAAGCGTACCTAAAGATGATGTCAAGAGACTGGAAAAAGAGGTGAGCTTGTTTACCCTCCCAGTACTGTTTACTTCTACATCACTATGCAATGACTCTAATGAACCAACCACTCATCAATTGTCGGCCTCATCTCAGATCGATGAGTTAACAAAGAAGTTTGTGAAGTCAGCAGAAGACATGTGTAAAGCAAAGGAAAAGGAAATCACTCAAGGCTAGCTTTGTGCTTTGGCTAATCTGAAAGACTATATAGGCCATTCCTTTCTAGAGCAGGTGCATTCCAATTAACTTTCAGTTTAGTTCATTCGCCGCATTTCATTCAACTGATGTTCTCAGCTAGATTGCGGGTTAGAGATGTATTGCTTTGGCTGCAAGCCATTCTTCATGTACACTACATACTGCCTCAGTTCCTTAGTGAAAAGGAGGAGGATTAGTTCACGTCTTCATGTTTGATAATCCATAGATCATGAAATGAATCCATGTAGGTTTGAATCCTCTTCATGGATATTTGATTAACGTCAAACTTTGTAGTATTTGTATTCGACATAAAACGTTTCGCTTTTTTCTTCCTTCCTTCCATATCACATTTTGTTCTACAATATCTGGTTATCATCTTCATTAGCTAGTTCGTTATAATCCTTTGATTCACCAACTATGGTTATCACATTTTGTTCTACTAAACTTCTCGGATTGAAAATAGCCACTTTTAACTACAGGTGGATTAAAAGAGAACTTTACAAAATCAAGAACTCTCCACAGCTTACTTCAAGAAGAAGTAAACTCCTCTCTAAACCAGAACCCCCTCATCATCTCTCTTCTCTATGTATACTACTTCCCCCCATCTTTCAACCGCAGATAGCCTCTCTAGTAACCAGCTTTATCCCTCTAACCCAAAGCTCGGCCATCTTATCGCCACCATCACAGACAAAATGAACCTCTTTCTTCTTCGTGGTAATAACCCGAAACAAACCGGGCGACACCTCGCCATCTCCTCTGCTCTTTCTGTTCCTCCGAAACACTTTACTGGCTCCCACCTCTGCATCCAAGCAGACCACATTCCTCCGACCACTCTTCCCCCACGTCAAAACTCCTGTCGCCACCACCATTCTGATCTCCTTCTCATGAGCCACCCCTCTGCCTCCCTTGGTATGCTTCATCACGCGACACCCTTGAGTAACAAGCTTGCGTGCAAGCTCGTCGAGTACCTTGTTCCTCACTTCCTTGTTCTTAGCCAAAGAAACTGCAGACTCGCCTCTGGCGTTCCTGAACTCGCAGTCAGCACCATGAGATATCAACAACTCGCACATGGACTTGAAGCCACCTTTCGCTGCCAGCATCAGCGGAGTGTACCCATCTCCGTCTGGAACGTTGACATCGTAGCCTCTACACGTCAGAAGCTCTGCTGCAGTAGTGTCCCCACGACGAGCAGCACAATGCAGTGCGTAAAACCCTCCGGAGGAGGAGTTTCTGTTGCCTTGCTCGAGTGCAAACTCGAGCATCACCTTCTCAAATGAGTCGCGGTTTGAGTTCAGCTCGGAGATTGAGATGGCTGTCTCGCCGGCTTTGTTCTGGAGCTTGACGTCGGCCCCCGCGTAGACCAGCACCCTGAAGGACTCTACACGGCCGTGTAGAGCTGCGCACATTACTGCAGAGTAGCCGTTGACCTCATCTTGGTAGTTAAGGCTGACCTCCCCTGACTTGATCAGGACCTGCAATGCCTCAGCGTCGCTGGATTGAGCTACGAAGAAGAGAGGGTTGAAGACGGACAGACTGCTCGAAACAATGACCTTTTCACCATTTCGTGCTCTAATTGCTTCGTGTACTGCTTGCTGGAAACCGAGCGACCAGCGGTTTGCAGTAGCCAGTGAGAGTGCAGATTGGCCTGCGTTGTTGAGTAGGCCGAAATCTGCACCGGCCATGGCGAGTACTTTGAGACACTCGCCGTGTTTGTCCCTTGCGCTGATCATCAAAGCGGTGTCGCCGGAGTCCGTGGTGGAGTTGAGATGGCAGCCGGAGTTGATCAGGAGCTTGAGGATTTGGGGCGAGCCTGAGCGGGCGGCCATGTGGATTGGTCTGAAAGCTTGTTTCGAAGTATGAACAGGGGACTCTGCATCGGCGACAGAGGTTAAGAGCACGTTGACAGCGGCTGGGTTGCCGCAGAGGATGGCGTGGTGGAGCAAGGTTCTACCGTGGTGGGTGGTGTTTGGTGAGAAGTGATGTTGGAGGAGGATTCTCAAGATGGTTCCGGTGGCTTCGAAGTACTCGACGGCGCACCATATGATGCCGTAAGGGTCGGCCAGTCCGGCGCCGACCCGGAACTCCTCGCCGGTGGTTGTGTCCCATGACCATGCTCCTAGCCTCACTTTCACATCAGTTTTCGCGCCAGCCTGTGTATATTGTCAACCTGATTAGAATCCTAAGTGCATTCAGGTGTGTTTGTTTCCAAATGTAACTCATTTGGAAGTAATCATTGTTTAAAATTATAATAATCATAACCGTTGTTCCCAGAATTCACTAATTTCGTATCAGTATGATACGAGTAAATAATTCGAGTTGAAATTATAAATATGATAAATTAATAATTTGTGATCAACAATTATATGTCCCGTGATATCCATACCATAAAAAATCATACATCTGATTTCTGATGTATAGTTTAGATTTATGCATTACCTTTAGCAGCAAGCGAACTACATCAACCTGCCTAGAAACAACAGCAGCAACAAGCGCAGAGCAGTCAACATTGGTGTGGAGGGAAGGCTTGGACGACAACAATAGCAATCTGTCGGTGGCGTTGAAGTCTACACCACACTGCAAAAGACAGATCACAGAAACTGTTGAGCACAGTGACTAATGATTCAAATGTCCAAATTCATTCAATTTCTGAATGCTACGAACTTAGGCCATGAGCGAGGATGTTCTTTTTGTTATGTGGGGTATCAGACTAATTCAATGATTGAATAATTTTCGTGCTTGCTGACCTTCATAAGGGTATCGACAACATCGACGAACCCACGGCAGGAAGCGGTGACAAGGGCATGCACAGCAACATGGGGCCGAATGAGATCAGACCCCATCAATGCTTCGGCCAACCTCGCCCGCCCTTGGTGACAG